TTTTCATAAAACACATATTGACAGATATAATATAATAATATCGATTAATATTAGTATAATATATATTATGTTATTATAAATATAATAAAATGATCAAAAATATTATATTAAAAAAAGAATATCACTTACGCGTGTCTCGCTGTCATATGATAACGACGTTTCATAACTTTCCAAATTTCCCAACAAATTGCAGTATAACAAAATGCCATTACGGTAAGTGGTAATACAAGAACTAGTACAAGCATATAAACTTCATGTGCTTTCCATAAAAATGCAGCATCGGGATCACGAACGCACCAATATGCAATGACCCTTTGTCCAACTTCTTTATGCCTCTAAAACCCAAATTCAATATTATATATATATATATATTGACTTTACTTTAATTATTATTACACATAAATTATTTTATTGCCATATTAAAAATGAAAAACCCATATATTCTAAAAGACACTTGGATATAGATAAAATCAAACATAAAATTCATTTTAAAACGTTAGTTTTTAAACGTATACCCAAAGAATCATTAATTTTTAATATCCTTAAACATATATATATATATATATATTTTTACATAAAAACGTATATTTTCGTATGTAAAAAGAAAAGAAAAGAAAAGTAAAATACGAAACGAAATGAAAAATTAATATTCTACGAAGACGAGGATGTACAAATTTAACGAACGTCTAAAGGTAGAGATGGTAAAATAACAAATTCAGAAAAAAATATTATTTGGCGAGGTAAACACAAAAAAGAAAAGAAAAGAATGATGAAATTGTAATTTCGTTTGATACACGTGGTACCTACGTACCATACGTACATGCACATTCATACATTTATAAATTCGCACAATCAGCAATTGCATCGACAGTTTCATCGATTGATATATACCTATCTTTTTCTTTTGACATTCGAATAAACGTCAGATTTTCCTAGAAAACGAAGTGGTAACGGACACTTCGACGACCTACATTACCTTTTTCCGTGATACCTTTTTACCTCGTTTATTTACCGTAAAACTCAATTTCTTTCTCATTCTCTCTCTCTCATTCTCTCTCTCTCATTCTCTCTCTCTCTGTCTTTCGGTTTCCACTCCAAAGAAAAATCTCATCGGGAAAATGAAAAGAAGGAAGGAAGGAATAGAAGGAAGGAAGAAAAGAAGAAAAATTTTAAAAT